TGAAGGACAGCACCCAGGGCCAGTGTTCAATCCCCACAACTGACAAAATAATAGATTTTTGCCAAAATGATATTGTTGATCATAATAAAATGTGAAAATGTACACATTGCACAACAGAGAATTGTCTTTTGGCACAATTAACAAAACAACTATTCCACATACTGATATCTTTTGTACTTAGGCAAGAAAACTTAGTAAGAAGACTAAATGCAAAGTTGTATCTCTACAACTTTGGCTACATCTTATTAGGCACAATCCAAAGAGACATTCTTAATACACTGTTATCAACTCTGACAACCATATATAGAATCACTGTTCTGAGTTTGGAAGGCGTATAAAGGCTCAATATGCCACCAAGCATAGGTGAATTGCCCAAAATGAGAGAAAATAAGAACAGGAATAAAAATCCATTCAGTTAGAAAATAAGAGGACATTTGAAAGCAGTTTAGAAAAAGAAAAGTATGTAATTTCTTTCCTCTTGGAGAGAAAAAATGCAAAAAAAATGAATGAAAGAAAAAAGAGAACCACAAGATGATTGCAGATTTAGAACGTAAAATTTCCAGAGTCATTAGAGGAATTACTGACTGGATGAGAGTTCATTGATTAGTGTCTTTCCACATTATGAATGGGCTCATGTAAGGGGGCAAACAGCCACTTAGTCTTCATGATTAGTGACTTGGAACAGGAAGGTAGGCATAACACATATCATGTAGAATTATGAGGCTGGTAAACCTAGAACAAAAGTGACCACAACTTTTGACAGCTCTATTCCAGGAAGATCATCTGGCTAAGAATTATGCAATAAATTAAATCACAGTTCCTGAAATGTCTATGGACTCCATCTCGCACACACACAGGACTCAATTTTGCCTGTGTGGTCAGTGTTAATATGAATCTAGGCACACTCTGTGCTTGGATTCCTCATGTTCATAGCTTTGTTTGGATGATTAAAGTTGATACATGTTAATACTTATGCCAATGTATAACTCAACTACAGTCAACACTTGTTCAGGTATTACTTTTATATGCAAATGATAGAAAATAATTCTGGTTAATTAAGCAGAAAAATGGATTAAAGGAGTTTTGGATTGTAGGAATTTTGTAATTGGAGAACTGGATTCAAGGGTAAGCTATTGAGGTATGAAACCTAAAATCACATCACAGATTTGTAACAAGGAAATGGACCCATTATCACAAATGTTCAACACCAAAGATGTCACCATTGCAATTTCTCTATCAGCATTCCAGTTTATTTTACTCCAGTATCCTCACCATTATACCCACAATCCTGTAAAAAAGGGAAGTTCTATACAAAAATTCTGATGTTTCATGGCCAGAATGAACTCAATCTTTTCAACCTTCGTGTTAAAGTTTCTTGTCCAGAATGATCTATTGAAGAAGGCTGTCTGGTTTTATTCAAGGTCAAGGACATGGCAGGTTGACTAGGGTGGCAGGGCCGGGGACTGGTTCAAATGGTATAGCACTTGCCTAGCAAATGCAAGGCTCTGAGCTTAATCGTCAGTACCACCCACCAAAGTAAAAGTAACTAGTCCCCTTAAGACCTAATGACTCCATCATGACAGGAAGAATTTCAAAATGTTCTTGACATAAACTAAGTTACTATATAGGTTCAATATCTAGTACTTAAAATGAAGCCATTTGATTTATAGTTAGAATTGCATTTCAATTCTTAATTTATACACTTACAGGCCACCTACCTATTTATATATGACTAGAGAGAGAAAAGTTTCAGAGTTTGAGTTGAAAGTAAAAGTTTTCAGTTTAATAACAATTCTGTCATTTGAAAAATCCATACTCTATATTCTCTTTTCTGAACTATGATATACTCAGGCCATTGGGTAGACTGCATCCCATGAGAAAGACATATGTCAGCTGGGAAAAGAGCAGTAATAATTAGGCTTTATCTATTTTAACTTCTTCAACTATAAAAATAGTGCCTGAAATATCAGAAATCCAGAGTCCCAGTGTCCTTTCTGAGTAATGGACAGCTATTCTAACTCCATGACTAACACCCAGTGCCTGTCTTAAATTGGTCTGGACTTCTCCGGATGCATTCCAAGCCCAGTAGGTTGTGCAGAGAACAAATATTCCCCACTATATGAACTTCAGAATATCTCTAAACTAGTCAGCCTGCAATTCCAAAGGCTATTCTTGGGAATTTTTTAAGTGTTTATAGAAACCATAGAAATACAATTTATAAGCTTGAACCAATCATTTTGGATCATAAGCAAATGAATGCTCTCATACCCATGCTCTACAGAAAATGGGTTGTTGGTATTTTCAGTAATTTTAGCAATCAAGAAGGTTGAAGGGGAAAACAAAAAGGCCTGCCTACAAGTTGCCTATTTATTTCTTTTCAAACTTTCAGATGAAGCTCGGCAAATTAGAGATTCTGGAATAGCCATTTGCTGGTAGGAGATGACAGGTTGATTTTCTCAACTTCAAGTATAAAAATATTTCTAAATCCATACCATGTTTATCCTAGTAATTAATTGAATGCTATAAACATCTAAGATGCATAGGAAATAATGCAAGAGGGATTATCATCATGAAAATGGAGAAGGTTGGGAAGGAAGGAAGGAAAGAAGGAAGGAAGGAAGGAAGACAATGGTTAGTTATAAGAACATGATCCTTTGTAAACAAGAGATGTGAGATATGCTCTCCCTAAAATCTAGCATAATACAATGACTGGTTTCAAATGTATCAGGGAGTTGTCTACTCAGTATCAGGATAAACTTTTTCATAAATAAGGAGTGTTTTAAGGGATGCATTTGTGGTAAATATCTAGGCTTCCCTATATCCAAGGCAGTAGAAAATAGCAATTAAGTTGATAAACTCAGTCAGATTTCCTGTGTTCAAATTAAAACCTCTCCAAACTATAACCATGTAACCTCAAATAATTATGAGATGTTGGGATTTGTTAGAAAGCAAGAAAATAAATAAAAACCTTTACTATCTCTGCAAATATCAAACTTGTATTTTTAGAAGATTCTCCATTGGGATACAGACTGAATTCTTTAGGTTTCTTTTCTAAAAGCATGAAATAGTCCATTTCTCAGATTTATCAGTGATACTAAAGTTGGGTGATCCTGAAAGTATCACAGGTTAAGAAAGAAATTATAAGCACTTGAGAGTCAAAATATTCAGCAGGTTGAAAAATGCTCAGTTACCTGAAGCAAGAATAATTAAGGCAATACAGAACACTGACTTAGAATTGTTTGGGATTTATACCCAAATCATCATGATATAAAGTACTGAGGTTAAAAAAGTGATCTTGCCCACAGGCATCATTTAAATGTTGTGATCCGAAGAGCCCTTATGCAAACCCTTAAAAAAAAATTGAAAAGGCTCAAGTTAATGTGGATAAAAACTTGAGTGATTCTATAAACAATAAACATCTACTATGCAAAACAAACTAGCCCATATCTTTTAAAAGTATATACATAGAGAGCTGGGTGCTGTTGGCTCACGCTTATAATCCTAGCTACTCAGGAGGCTGAGATTTTAGGATTGCAGTTCAAAGCCAGCCTGGGCACAGGAATGTTGTGAGGCGCTTATCTCTAATGAACTATTCAGAAAAAGCTAGAAGTGGAGCTGTGGCTCAAGTGGTAGAGCACTAGCCTTGAGCAAAAAGAAGCTCAGGGACAGTGGCCAGGCCCTGAGTGCAAGCCCCCAAACCAACCAAAGGAAAAAAAAAAGTATATATAGAAAGTGTTATGGAAGGCAGCTGACATTTTCCACAAAAAAAATGACTTCTCAGGATGATAAAGTGATACACTAGGGCATTTTTAAAATTCTGTCCATTATCATGCTAGTTCACAAACTACACATGTCCTCTTAAGGCATAAACCTCCTGAAATATTCATTGTGAAGTTAGTAAAAATTGCTGGTCGACATTTAATTCCTTATGTTTTCATTTCAACACAAATTGCAATAAAATATATTGCCCTAAAGCTCTAACTGTGCTAGAGTGAAAAGTAATTTGTTTATCTTTCCCTAGCAAATGAACTTTCAGATCAATAGTGGTGGACTAGCCCCCATACTTCACTTTGGTCTTTAACCCATGGAAAAACAAATATAGCATTCCATGAAAACACCAATGTCACTCCTTCTCAAAATGAACATTTCTTAGAACAAAGGTGGGAGGGTAAAGGGAAGAAGTTCATTCTATTTGAACTAAGTACATCATTGTTTCCCACATAAAGAGCCAACCTCAGTCAAGTGCGCTTACATTTTCATCAGCTTTGGGAACAGATTTAAATCCTAATTACCAGGTAGCTTCAAAATTAGCCAGTTCCCATCTGCAAATGTTAATCTTCAAATGTTTCTATTTAGGAGCCCACATTGCCTGACTTGGTTTATGCCATGATTTAAATCCAGGGAGGCAAAAAGGGAGAAAGTGCTGAGTATGTATCACAGACCAAGAGGAATGCCATGTGTATTTGATGAATTTTGTCCTCTAATCAAAGTCTGATGTTAAACTCACTTTGTATCTGAGAAAACTGAACTCATTTGCCTAAAATCCCACAGATACTGAACAACAAAGCCAAGCACTCAGCTCCAGGACACTTGCAACCATATTACACATGCTTCAATGTTAAAGCAAAGCCCCAGATTCCAATGACAGTCATTTGATGGTCAAGCTTCTATAATGATAAGAAAACAATTCCTTAACTTGTTAAGGAGATAGTTGTCATTCTCTCACACTAAAATATCTTTAAAGCACCATTATATTTGTCTAGCATTTAAAAAATTTTAAAGAGGCTTAAATTGAGCAAATCTTTGATGTCATCAATCATATCAAAGACTTTTACTTTCAAATCAATCACTTTTATTACATGTCAATGGCAAATATATCATGAAATGACTTTCAAAATGGTTTTCCTTATGGCAAAATGATTTTCTTAAAGTAACCAAGGAAACAAACTAAATATTTTATGATTTTCTTCTCTACTCATAACCCTGCTTTGGAATTGCAGGAAAATGGACAGAGGAAATATGGTGGCCCTCCACCTGGTTGGGATGCTGCACCCCCAGAAAGAGGCTGTGAGATTTTTATTGGAAAACTCCCCCGAGACCTTTTTGAGGATGAACTTATACCATTATGTGAAAAAGTGAGTCTAAATTTGTTATTCTTTTCTTCTTCCAAGGGAAAAATAACATTCACTTTGCTGTCACACTTGTTCTTTCTGATCACCAATGGTTTCCTCTTCCAATGGCCAGGACGCCATTGTGGACACAGTTAAAGTCTTACAACTCATTATTCACTGTCAACTCAATATCACTGCCCGACTCAACTCTTTGTCCTGTTCAGGACTCCCAATGATTCTCAAGTTTGTAACACATCCGCCAACCTCTCTATTGGCAAAATTTGGCATGTCTGCTAATCTGGAAAAGTGCAACAATATTCTGACTACAATAAGATATTGTTAGCCAGGCATGGTGGGACACTTACATAATCTCAGCTACTCAGGAGGTTTAAGCAGGATTGTGAAGTCAAAGAAAGCCCTGGAAAAGTTAGAGAGGTCTTACCTTAAGACAAATAAGAACAAAAGGGCTAAAGATATAGCTCAAATGTAAAGTGTATACAAGGTGCTGGATTCAATCTTACTGCAAATAAATAAATAAACAAACAGAAAGCTAGAAAGGAGGAAAGGAAGGAAGGAGGAAAGGAGGGTAGGAGGAAAAGAGGGAGGGAAGGAATGAAGGGAAAATAAAAGATAGGGCTCCAAATTGAGATTTTAGTATGATTTTATGAAATTCAGAATTATAATATAATAATGTGTATACTCATCATTGCTCAAATGTGTGTCTATGCATATTGATTCAAAACAAGATTTTTATTAAATCTTGTTCAGCCCAATGTGTCAATAAGGTTAAGGACATAGTTTCTCAATGTTGTTATATAATTACCAAAAAATACCTTCCTTGGGTATGATACAAAATTATGCTTTGTTACTAAAGTTTAAACTAAAAGAAGAGTGTGAATTTAAATTTCTTTTTTTAGTAATTTACCAAGTGGTTTTTAACAACAATCACATTCCTGGACAAATTTAGTAAATTTGAGTGTGTAGCTCTTCCCCTAAATGCCAAAATCAATTGTATGTGCACATGTTTATGTGTTTGCATTCTATAGATTAGCTTTGGATTCAGAATCATACTAATTTTGTACATGTAATTCCATTTGTCATATATACAAACTTGAAGGACCTAATCCTATAAGAATTTTATTTTTCTTAACCTGAAAAATGAGCCTAATGAGATGCCTAAATCACAGATGACACATGCTCTAACTCTCAATAAGCACTGAGGAAACAAATGTCCAACACTGAATCTTTTTGGGTAGAGTAAGATAAGACTGAGCAGCGAGAAAAGCCAACACAGAGCTACTTTCCTTCCCCACATGCCTATTGACTCTATCAGGGTCTTACAGCAGCCCGAGTCTGGATTATTAAGAACAGTGAAGTATGGGAGGGAGTCAAATATAAGCAAGTAGAGGACAAAACCCAGTTAGATAGAGTGCATACTCTTTTTCTAGGGTGGTCCTAACGCTGTGTCAATGATACTGAGCTGCATTTACCTTCAATCTATACTGAGAAAATAACAACACAGCCTTTTATTCTGATATCCTGACAGGGTAAAAGCAGTTCATTTACCAAGGTCTTAAATGAGGGTTTCTGCATTTTGTTTTAAACACTGATATTTTAAACATCAGTGATAAAGGATGATCAAGTAAAGGTCAAATCATGGAGACTTTGAAAGCCAATTTAGAAGACATGGACAAATCTAGTAAGAAATTGTACATCTGATGATAAATGTGTTTTCTGGTCTCTAAGACATTGCACAAATCCCCAGATAATTGCAGGACAAAAGGTCATTTGCTCTGTCAAAAGCACATTCTGTTAACTTGTACTGAAATGCCACTTGCACGTAATATCTTTAAACTTGAGTTAAATATCTGACTCCCATGAGTCAGATAATTAATCTAAATCCAGCATAAAACTATGAAAACCATTCCCAATGGAATTCAAATGCCAAACACTAGCAGGAGGCAGAATTCAGAAACTATTATGTGTGTGTGTATATATATATATATATGTATATATATATATATATACATGCATGTATACACATGTCCATTTGTAAGTACAAACATAAATATACTAATTTAATGTTTCTGTTATTTACAGATTGGTAAAATTTATGAAATGAGAATGATGATGGATTTTAATGGCAACAATAGAGGATATGCATTTGTAACATTCTCAAATAAACAAGAAGCCAAGAATGCAATCAAGCAACTTAACAATTATGAAATTAGGTAAGATCTATGCAGCTCATAAATTAAACTGAAGTAGATAATTAATCTGTTTCTGTTTTTCTATCAAGTTATACAATAACTAATTTCCCATCTGTATTTTTCTCCCATTTAATAAAGGCATACAGTAATTCACACATTTTCTTTATAATTCTACAAATCACTTCTTTTGGCACAGGAATAACAATTGGGTATGGCTATGTGATCTCAAGGTTGAATTTCAGAACAGAGTTGAAGAAAACACAAAGGACAGTCCCCTCCCCCTCACACCTCCATGGACTCAAAAGAGTTGTATGTGGTATGTGGGAAATTAAAGTAGAATCAGGAGACCTAAGTTCTAGCTGAGGTTCTTTTGGACAAAAATCCTTTGGCTTTTTTGAACATCACTTTTATTATTATCATAACCTGATCACACAAGATCTTCTGAGCACCTACCCTATAAAATAATAAACATCAATGTGCTTTGGAAAGTACTACAAAAAGCTATATTGAGTAGAGTATAATATTCTATGTATATGATTTCAAAGTTGGAAGATTTCTCTATTCTTTAGTCTTTCATAAAATCTGGACATACTAACAGAGCTATTCTAAACATGGCTTTTGAGTTGAAACAGATATAGAACTGAAATTGACTCTGTTGAAAATAACCAGTTTCTTCTATCTACTTAACACCTTGCCACCCAGTAGGAACTGTCAATACTTTGAAAATAAAGAAGGTGTAGAAAATAAAATCAATCTATTGTGATCCATGGTCATTAACAGTATCCACTGTTAATTGCATTGTCTTATCAGTAAAACAGAGATAAAATAGACCTAACTCATGGGTTGTTATTAAAAAATTAAAAAAATGAACTAATACACATCTCTGCACCTGACAAATGTCAGGTCCTTTATAAAATTTAACCACTGATCTTATGGCAGAGAAGGGAAAAGAAGGGGAAATATGACAAAAATGGAAAGAGAGCATTAGTGTTCAGGACTACAGGCAAAGCTCTGGTTGTATGACAGAGCAAGGTGAAAGTACAAATTAGGAAGTGAGATCAATGGAATATGAAATAGTCAAATAGAGACCTCAGAGGCAATCTCATAGATTTTTATGTTATCTAGGGTCAATCCTGCCAGAGAGAAAAACCTTTCTTGCAGAGAAGGTAATAACCTTCAATTTGCTCTCAGCTACCATTTCTCAGGGGATGGATGAGACTTCAATCCAGAAAAGGCTCATGATTATCACATCATCTTCCTCCTCATCAAATATTCACTGAACATCATCTAAATGCCTGGCTTCTAGACACATTAAAGTCATGCCCTCAACTTTGGAGAGATGGCTTTTTATCTCCATGTAATTCTGGGAAAGAATCCTAACAAACCACATGCATTTAAAAATAGGAAATAGACATTTTATCCTCCCCTTTCCAGTAACCTATACTAGACCAGTCTTTTAGCTATCAGAATTATGAGTTTTAAGTAAATATATTATGAGAGGATTTTAGTCTTTTTTAGGTAATTTTTTTTCTTTTGTGTGAGTGTATGAATGTGTGAGTGTGTGTTAGTGTGTGTGTGTGCACATATGTGTGTGTTGGTGTGTATGTGTGTATATACCAGTCCAGGAGCTTGAACTCAGGGCCAGTTTCTTTGTGTTTGTTTTGTTGGACTGTGAGTTCGTTTATCCAAGTTTGAAGGCAAATTTCTAAAAACCAAGCAACTGGAAGATAGCTTTATCACCTATTACCTCTCCCAAAAAACATATTCTATCGGCAATGTCACCAGACTGAGGTAGACTTGTCATAGACTGGATACAAGGCTCTTGGTTCTCCAGGAAAACATAGGAGATGAGACAAGTAAGACAGTGGCCCAACCTGGTCAGAATGCCTGGCATACAATAAAGAACTATAGTTCCCAAAACAGCAGACCAGTCTCCCACTCACCTGGCTAAAAGCTTTTATTCCTGACAAATGGGTTGTCTCTGTTAAGGATACCTTACCTGTTTTTAATAACACCATGTTATTACAAAAACCTATATGGCCTAATACATGTCATGTGGAAAATATCAAAAAGCACTAAGTAATAAAAGTTGAAACCATTCTTCCATCACCCCAGTGCCTAAAGATAACCACTAAGTTAGCATTTTATTGTTTTTCCATATTTTCTCTCTGTTTTAATACTCTTTAAAAAAAAAAACATGAGCAGCATATTGTGAACTGTCATTTTAGCCAATAGATATTACTATTTTTAAGGCCAGCAAAGCATTCTGTGGCAGGAAATCCTATCCTTTGCTTAGCTGGTATTCTTAGCCAGGTGCAAAACTATCCATCCTAAGAGATATTTAGAAAGTGAAGGGTAAGTTTTGATGAATTGATTGGATAATTACTGGCATTCAATTGGCAAGAAATAAAGATGATACATATACTACATTATCCAGTGAGGGAATATCCAGTCATAAGGCTAAAGCTTCTCATTAGAGATGCATCAGAGCAGTTCCTGATTATGAAGTACTGCTCAAGTCCAATTTGGCGAGCTATTTTAAACAACACATTATTACCGATATACATAAAGACTGATGCTCACCCCTTCTTACTTAGGACACATTCCCAGTAGGAGTATTCTCAGTCCCACATCATACACATTTAAGATTTCTGACACTTTTTGCCAAGTCCACATAGGAGTAGTTTAATCCATTCTCTGCCAAGGAAGGTAGCCCTTACCTTGGGTACTAATCAGCCACTTCTGCTCACTGAAAGAAACAGGGACAGACCAAAGAGGCCAGTCTCTCCCTTAGAATGTGTAAATTCTTTTTTTTATTTTAATTTTATTTTATTTTGTGAACAAACTGTACAGACGGGTTACAATTACAAGGGCAGGATAATGCGTACATTTCTTATCAAGCATTGCAGCCTCCTCCTTTGTTTACCCAGAATGTGTAAATTCTTAAGCGAGTCAATTCACTTTCTTGGAGCCTCAAGTGCTTTATGTGTAAGGTGGAGGCCCAGGCTATCTTACCCACTGCAATGCTCTTCTCTGTGGCTCAAAAGAGAAAGCATGTCTGTTCCAGGACAAAGGGTTGTGTGTATGAGCAATCGTGTCTGCACAGCCAGGGAGGGGACATGAGGAATCTAGGCTGGAGTGGCAGGCAGTGTTATGAGCCCATCAGGCAGTGGTGAAGATGTCCATATCTAGCCTAATCCATATCTATCCTGAAGAGTGCAGGTCCTTCTCGGCTGCATATCACATAGCTCCTTTAACAAATAGAGTTGATAATAACATAGCTAAGAAGCCAAACTCTTCCCAATTGCTTTTAACCCTTTCCCTCCCCACCCCATGAAGAACAATCACCCGAAAATTCTCCTCAATGTCACTTCTAGACCTTTTGGCCAAGATAGAGTAGGATTCTCACCACTTCGGGGTTTTGTTGTTGTTGTTGGCCTGCTCTTTATTTATTTATTTGGTTTTATTTTTGTGGCAGAAATGGGCGTCTGTTGGGGGTCTGTGCCAGTGTCGACAACTGCCGATTGTTTGTTGGGGGAATCCCCAAAACCAAAAAGAGAGAGGAAATCCTAGCAGAGATGAAAAAGGTCACCGAAGGTGTTGTGGACGTCATTGTCTACCCGAGCGCTGCAGATAAGACCAAAAATCGGGGCTTCGCTTTTGTGGAGTATGAGAGTCACAGGGCTGCTGCCATGGCCAGGAGAAAGCTGCTGCCAGGTGAGCTACCCCGGCCCACACACCAGACCTCGCCACTCCATCCCGCCTGCCACAGGAAACAAGTGCTGACTGGTCCTGTTCCCCCACATTTGTCTTCACTTCCGGTGACTTTTAAACTCTCTTCATCTTTCTTAATTATCTCATACTCGGGAGATTTCACAGACTTGGTTTAGAAACATCTCTTGCATGGGTGATTCACCTTCACTGGAGATGGTTATAGCCAAAAATAGTGGACCCAAAGTAAAGGACCTTCTAAAAATTAAGTGCACCAGTTATGGTATGTGTGCATATAAAATGTGATCAGGCTTGTTAGAAAAAGGATATAGTATCTATTACAATGTGGACATAATTAACCTGCCTGTGAGACATGACTCCAGTGAAAATTAAGTGAACCAAGTTATTATGGCTCCTTAATGTCTAATAATTTCCTATTCAAAAGAATTAAAAGTTCTTCAAAAAAAGAAAAAAAAATGAGAGAAGGGGTGGGTTAGGAGTGATGGGTGACAATGTTATCAGACACTTTGTATTCATACTGTTTAGTAGAATAGGAACTTCTTTGTACAATCACTTAAAGATAATTTTAAAAAATTAAGTTCTTCAAAAAAGTGTACTTTAGTTGAATTCTCCCACCACAGGTAGTCAACAGGTATCATTTCCTGTGTTTAAGATTTCAGCAAGATACTGGGGGAAAAAATGTTTCAAGATACCCAGATCATTTGAGAATATTCGGAAAAACTATACGAAGTTACATGTTCACATGAATTCTTATTAAAATAAGAGAAATTCAAGAATAAAAAATTATCAAGACATAATGGTCCATGCCTAGAACTTGGGGCTGAAGCTGGACAAATGGAAGCTTCATGTCAGCCTGGGCCACCATAATCTTATAAAAGAAAAAGACAGACAGGTACTGCACTGTAATCCTAGCTACTCAAAAGGCCGAAATTTGAGGATCGCAATCCAAAGCCACTCCAGGCAGGAAAGACCATGAGACTCTTATCTCCAATTAACCACCAGAAAACTGGAAGTAGCACTGTGCTTCAAGTTGTAGAATGCTAGCCTTGAGCTGAAGATCTGAGGGACAGCGCCCAGGTCCAGAGTTCAAGCCCCACAACCAACCAAAAAAAGAAAGAAAAAGACACACACATACACACACATACACACACACACACACACACACACACACTGGGGGGCAGGAAGGGAGAAAAATGAAGAATGATAATGATAGATTAAACACTTGGTCATTTTGGAATAAACTTTTTTCATGAAAGATATGGAAAAGTCATGTAAAACAAAATGGCAACAAAAACTAGAGATGCCTAAGATGCAATAACTCTTGCCCTGGTACTATTTTCTGTAGATCTCCTTGGTTACTTTCTGGCTTATATGACATCAATTCTTAGAGCAGCGGGCACATGTCCTAGCCCCTTTTAATGTTTTGTGAACTCAGACTCTGTTTCACCTTAACCAACCACATTTACCCTAAAAGCCATCCTAAGAGTCAAATATGCTCGCTTCTGGTTCATTTCTGTTCCATTTCAAACCACATCCTACTTCCTTTCATTCTCAATCATTATAATAAGCCACTAGTCACACAGAACTACCTACTAGCCAACCCATATTTATTTGTATGTCTTAAAATCAATAACAACCTTTTTAATGGTCTTATTCGTTCAAGATCTTAAAGGTTGGTTCAATTTAAAAGTCCATTAATACTAAGATGAGGATGTCCTTATTTCTAAATAATTTATTATTCTTGTGATCACTGTCAACAGGAAGAATTCAGTTATGGGGACATCCTATTGCAGTAGACTGGGCTGAACCAGAAGTGGAAGTCGATGAGGATACAATGTCTTCAGTGAAAATCCTGTATGTAAGAAATCTTATGCTGTCTACCTCTGAAGAAATGATTGAAAAGGAATTCAACAATATTAAACCAGGTAGAACTCTCATATAAGGTCTTTTTGTTCAAAATGTACTTTCAAAGCACTTATGTATGACTCAGATAATTTTTGTATACCTGTCAAAAGAATAGCTTCTATGTCTCCCCTTCTCATAACAAAATGCAGACTACTTCAACTATTTTAAATATTTGTACAGCATTAAATGCTACTATAATTTTACATTTAATTGTGAGGATATTCAATGAATACATATTCTTTACTAAACTATGAATTCCCTGAATTCTCTTTCCTCTTATAATCTCCTCAGTCCTATACTTCTGAAGGCCCAGGTAGATAAATAATCAATACATATTTATTACATCAGTGGATGCTTGGCTATTTCTATGGTTCTAACACAGGATGAGGGTCAGAGCTCAAGCAGTAGAGTGTCTGTCCAAACCCCATTATCACTATACACCTAACGCAGGGTTCCTGAATCTCAGCCCTAATGCCATTTTGGGATAGACCATTCTTAGTGATAGTGATCTGTGCAGTATATTTTAGTACACATTAATCAGTAACATCCAACTTCCCTTCCCAGTAAATACCAGTAATAATCTCCAAGATGTAATGACCAAAACTACCTCCAGACTTTTCCAAAATTTTCCCCAAAAGTGAGAACCATGCTAAGGAATATATATGTGGCTTTTAGGTACATAAGTAAGGACGTAAAAAGCCTAAGGAACTTATCTGGATGAAGAAAAAAAGAAAGGAATAGGCGGAAGATGAAAGGGGATAATTAATTGTTATCCATCATGTCAATACTTTTTAGTTTTAATTCCAAGTCATAAAACTGTCTCTGTTCCCTTCTTATCAAGATACAATGTATCTGACCTTTTCTGCTTGTATATGTCTGAGACAAGCAGAAAAGGTCAGATATGTTGATGTTAGGTGAAATGAACCTCAAGATAAGTATTCAAATGTTTTTTTACTTTCATACAATTATTTCTAATATATTTATAAGATGATTTCTTTGTTGCTTTGTATGTCCCTCCCCCACGATATAACCCCTGCTTTCTCTGTATTTGATGTTGGTATAATTTGTGGAGGGGAAGGGAAAAAACAAATCATTTAAATAGGGATACAGGTGGACCCATTGCAACAATGAGATGTACAAGTCGTTATGTGGAAAAATGAACTTTACAACTTTGGCTGGGGAGGGGGGGTATTCGTGGGGGGAGTGGGTTATGGGAAGGGACATGAAGGGGAAACAAAGGAGGAGGGAACAATGCTTGATAAGAAATACACTCATTATCTTGCGCATGTAATTGTAACTTCTCTGTAACGTATTTTCATAATAAAAAAATGTAAAAAAAAAAAGACACAACACTGAGAGAAGTAATCAGTTTAGGAAACACTGTCCAAATCAGAATTTTTGAAAACCAACTTACAACATAAACTTTAGAAACTGTTAGTGACGAGTACTGATAAAATGGTCTCTGGTTAAATAAGCTCATAAATACCAGACTTTGCAAAATTAAGTGGACTTTTTAAATTGTGGGACTTGGAGTTTTTAATTTAATATGCTTGCAAAGTCTCTAGGAAGAGATATAAGTTGTCTCACTTCCCAAACTTTTGGGAAATGGATCGTCTTTTATGCCAGAGCAGCTGGTGGGACTTACGTGTCATAGAATACATCCCGACAACCTAAGTTTACCATAGCGATAATATCTTTTCAAAACTAAGAATTTTTCAGGCTCCTAACAGACTAGCTAGGCTATAGATATATACCAGTCACAGTGCTACCATGTTAAATCACTGAGAATATTCACCTCACACACTCATACATATTGTCTGTTCCAACTCTGGGTTAATAAGCTGGTCTTTAGTCAACTCATAAGGGTGTCATTTTTCTTTTTATAAAGATCCACCTAACACCTATAAGACTTTGCCTTCCCTGACATTTTAGTGCAATACACTAGCTCCAACATATCAACAGTGCCATACCGAAAGCTCATCAGGGCTAATACAGAGTCTGCAAATGATTCATGGCATCACTGTGTGTCTGGCATTTCAATGAGCAGTTTCACAGTGTGTGCTGGAAAGAGTGCCAGCTTTTATGACACAAGCTCATACTCTCTAGTTTCAATGTTTTATGGAGCTAAATTTTAACATATTCAGTTTGCCAAAAGCAGGTATACCTGAACACTATAATTCAATAATGAAGGATGGTTTTCAATATCTGAAATCAGCATTTCAGAATGCCTAAATTCATAACCATCTAAAACACCAGTAATGCATGTGAATGATGGAAGTTGGGGTGAATTGAATGCAAAAACCTCGCCCCTTTCAAGTTCTAAATGGCCTGTGTCCAGCACAGTAAACAGGAACTGAGTGAAGGGGGTAGATGTCACTGAAGCAAACCTCCATTCTCAGGAAGCTAAGATATAAGATACAAGCAGAGCCACATTGAGAATGGAATTGAAATACATCCTAATTGACCTCTTACTGCTCAATTACCAAGATGAGCCAAGGAGTTAAGCCACAATCACCACCCCACCTATCATCAAAGAAAATAAAGACCTCACTGGAAATTCCGTTAATTATATGTCCCAATCTTTATGGTCTCAAATACCTTTACTTATTTTCTCAGTTTAACCAGATAATTTTACTCTCTAGAATATGAAGTCAAGGGCTGAATGCTAATGGAGAATAAAAAGAACAATCCCAGTCTTTTAAAATTACGCTTAGAGTATAGGTCAACTGTACTTCAAAGAAGGTAATTCATAGTCATTGAACCATGTAGTAGACTAGACACTCTAATTACCTTTGCAACCTTGAATCTAAAAGGAGAACTGAACATTGATAGAGAATGGATTCTCTCTCAATATTATTTTCCCTAGCATAATTGTCTTATCCCAAGCTTTCTCTAGAAACTAGGAGGAAGAGAAGAGAATCTGGCCGTTCAAGAGACACTCATGTTAGTGTAGCCTCACAGAAGATCATTAACAGGCTTGACTGATGGTTAAGCTTTCACTTATTTCTAGTTTTTATTTTTATTTATTTATTTTATTCTACTGAGGTTAAACTCAGATCCTTGCACTTGCTAAGCAAGCATTCTACCACGTGGGCACTGAAAATTACTTTTTGTATGAGTTATTTTTCAGCTAGACTCCCATCTTTCTTGTCCAGGAAGGCCTGGATTGTGATTCTCTTACTTTATACCTCCGGGAAGAGCTGAAATGACAGGTACATGCTACCATGCTCAGCTTTTTAAAAAAATTAATTTCATAATGTTCAGAGGGGTTACAGTTACATAAGTAAGGAAATAAGTATATTTCCTGTTGAACATTGTTACTGTCTCCCTTGTTTTTCTCCTACTTTCCTCCCCCCCCCAACTCCAACCCCACAATTTGTAAAGTTCATTTCCAACATAGTGTCTTGTGAGAATTGCTGACAAAGGATGAACCAATGCATCAACTCTTTTAAAAATTGAGATGAGACCAAAAACTTTTGACCTAGACTGGCTTTGAGGCACAGTCCTTGTGATGTCTGCATCCCAAATAGCTAGGATAACAAGCATGAATCACTATACACAGTCAGAAAAGATCTATTTTTTTAATTGAATAAACAAAAATATCTGTAGAAGACACCATCTTGGTACAATCCTATTTGTTTAATTGTTTGTTTTACCATCAATATGGTACAATGCGTCCTTTATATAAAAATAGGCTGGGGAGCTTTTTTACACAATAATATAGATAAACTTGTAAAATATTTGAAAAATACCAATTAAAATGTAATGCCCCCCTTCATTCTCCCCACTTTTCCTCTCATAAATCCCTTCCTCATTAAAAGTTTGGTTTCTGTCTGTCTAGTTCAGTCCATTTTGAGTAGATCTGTATTTGTGCATACATAAGAAGGGTGAAGATTTCTAAAACTTAACTTCTACCCTCTTATTATTTTATAACTTTTTAAAAGAAACAAAAGTGTTCTTCCAAGTAAGTACACAATAGGTCTATTCTGCTCTCTTAAAAATTCCTTGATATCAATAGAAATATGCCAGATTTAATTATTCCTGTAAAATCAGCCATTAGGTTGTTATACCACTTCATTGGTGATATAATTGACATATATATGCACAATGCTTATATATGTGTGTAAATAATTTTGTATTAAAATTTTCCCCAACGTAGAATTAATAAAGATCTCCATTTTTTCCAATCTTTAGATATGATAGTATGGGAAGAAATGGTCTTAGATCTCAAATGTTCTGTTAGAAGCAACTTTATGTCTCTTAATTTAAAGAGTATTAAATAATGATATAGGATATCTGATTCTAGATCCTAGCTCATGAACTACAAATATCCCTTTTAGTGTGACAAATACAGCCTTCTAATATCTACATCAGAATAAATTAATTAAACAAAATTGAACTAAATCCATAACTAATTAGGATCAATCAGACTGTAACCATTATTTGAACATTAGTAACAATCTTCTGTTAAATATGTAATAAGTTAAACCTTGATGGTAGGATACTTACACTCTTGGAAGCGAACTACATCTTTTTCAGGGACATTTCAGTTTTCCTAACAGGGCTGCTTACACTCTGTTTACAGGTTCTGTGGAAAGAGTAAAGAAAATCCGTGATTATGCTTTCGTACACTTCAGTAACAGAGAAGATGCCGTTGAAGCTATGAAAGCTTTAAATGGAAAGGTAACATGTGAGAAAGGGAAAAAATTACAGATTCTATCCAATTTTTCTGTGGAACTTCTACTCAAAAGAAAAGTCCCAAGCCGGGTGCTGGTGGCTCATGCCTGTAATCCTAGCAACTCAGGAGGATGAGATCTGAGGATCACAATTCAAAGCCAGCCCGGGCAGGAAAGTCCATGAGACGCTTATTTCTAATTAACCACCAGAAAACCAGAAGTGGCACTGTGGCTCAAGTGGTAGAGTGCTTGCCTTGAGCTGAATCGCTGAGGGACAGCACCCAGGCCCAGAGTTCAAACCCCACGACTGACCAAAAAGAGAGAGAGAGAGAGAGAAAGAGAGAGAGACAAATCCTATGCCTTTATCTCACCTGTCCCCTATCTGTGATGGCTGCTGCAATCATTTAAAGATACACAATAGAGAAATTATGGGAAACACCTCCAACTTCTTTCTGATATGGAAAAGTTACTGGTCATCAATTTTTTTAAAGAAAGGATGGGACATGATTTTTTCACCCCAAATCCCAATATTCTTTCATACCTACACTTGGTAATATGGTATTTTAAAGGCTAATGATCACAGAAGATATCATTCTGAACTCAGAATTGGATCTTCCACCTTTGCATGGCTTAGAATTTCTTTCCTTTTCAAGAATACAGTTGGGGGAAAACAAGCTTCTAAATCCTTCCAGTTTGTCTTGGGAATCAACATAATAAGTACATCTATCCAACAAACACCAAAAACCTTCTGCAGATCATTTATCTGCTAATAAGTTCTGAGATGCTAAAAGAATCAAACCAAAGATTCTTGTCAAAGAGCTGAAATTATTGTAGAACAATAAGGTAAGAACTCAAATATGTATGCAAAGTCAAGTAAGCATCAATAAGACATTAAAAATTAATGAAAGTTCAAAGGAAGAAGCTGGTCATCAAGCAGCAAAAAATTGTCATGAATATTAGAAGACAAGGCATGTTAAGACATTGGTCACTTCAAAGAAAAAATATTAATAAGAGAGTCAATCTCAGAAGCAGATAACTTGGGAAGAGCAAGACAAAATTGAAGAATAGTCAACTGAATGGCAAGGCCTGTTTTACTCATTTATGCTTGCCTGGGTCAGGGTCCCAACAGAAAACAAATGTCAAAAGAATCAGTTACAAGTGTTAAATGGGGAGAAGTGGGATCAAAAGAGGTCTGCAGAACCTGGGGTTTACAGTATTCTGAGTTAAAGGAACAAGGGGAAAAAGAATAACAGTAGTAGAAATCCTGAAAGAGGGCAGAATGGGGAAGAGGAGGTCTCTTGGAAAAGAATGGTGACATACAGTCATACCACCTTAAATGTGCCTGATCTTGTCTATGAAGGGATATGGCCAGCCTAAGGTGAACTCTTAAGAAAGGGAGCCAAGAGAATAAGTATCCCCAGACTCACAGAAGTCTTACCAGCCTCCTCCTAGGGTTCTACATTACCCAAATCCAACATTAATATTGAAGGTCCTGGAGTCCTAAAGAAGAGCCTACTTATAACAATCAATTAGAACAAAGGAGAGGCAAGATCTTTCAGACACAGTGGAGCGTGGACCATAGGTGCTCCTTCAGGGTCTTCAAAATATTTAATTCCTGGAAGGGTGGGGGTATTGACTCTGAAATGCAAACAGAAAACTGCAAAGCAAAAACAAATTTATATTTAAATATGTGCTGATGAAACAAAGCACTGTTTCTTCTTCATTCATTACTATACTTAGTATCATAAAAGTGTTATTGCAAATTAGCTTTTTCTCTATTTGGAAACATTCCTGAGTATCTATGATGATTGCTGAGAAGACACAGCAATTATAAATTAAAGGCTGAATAATTATGTTAGACTTATTAACAGTAGAAAAGCATTCATATCATTTTGCAGCTAGATATTTTTGGAGCAATGTTTGCATATACTATGTAGTTAAATATATTTAATATTACTTACAAATATATATTGAATGTTTTATTCAAGTATAACATGGTATGGGAAAATAAAATGTTTCCCAAGGACCTATCAAGCCATCTTAGCGTGCCTTGAGATATTTATATGTAATTTATCAGACAAGGAAAGATTGAAGTGTTTTGGTAAGGTAAGGAAATAATTGTATTTACAATTTCTAGAAATGAACATAGTTTTATTGAGTGGGAGAGGTAGTAAAGCTATTATGGTTACCAGAATGGTAAAAAAAGAAGAGCTTGCATATAGTAGTAATGGAATGTAGATGAGAACTTTACACAGAACTGTGGGAGAATGAAATCAAAAGGACCCAGGAACTGATTGGAGATGGAATTGAGGAAGAGAGGTCATTGTAAGTTCTTCCATGTAGAAGGATGTTACAGAAGTCAGAATCATATTTGGAGAGGTATATGAATTGAGTTTTACACCTGATTATTCAGTAATTCTACAAGTATTTGTGAATGTCTAGGATGGGAAATAAATCTTGCTGGGTTAATAAGCTCTATAAATTAACAAGATAGTGTCATAGCTCTTGAAATTCTAAACTAAATAACAAAATATAATCGTGGTATTAAATGCTATTGGAGAGGGCAGAGGAAAACAGAGCATAACTTATTACAATAATAAGTCTGGTTTTACAATAAAGAAACACTTCATTCAAAACATATCCTCATCAACAGAGACCTATTTGAGGTGCTCATTTTCCTCAAAAACAAGGGTAAAGATATATAATCTATTATAGCTAAGGTCACTCCTTCCTTCAATGTTCTAAGTCCCTTTCTTCTCATTTTGTCAGTATCTATAGAGGAGAATTGAGTATAAACTGGATTCTGTCTATTTCTTAGTGTGACTCTATTTGCCATGTATGACACTGTTTCTTGATAAAAAGTAAAGTAGACTGGGCATCAGTGGCTCATAACTATAATCCTAGCTATTCAGAAGGCTCAGATCTGAGGACTATAGTTTGAGGCAGCCCAAGCAGGAAAGTCCATGAGTCTCTAATTGCCAATAAACTACTCAAAAATAAAGACAGAAGTGGAGCTGTGGTTCAAATAGTAGAGCACTAGCCTTGAGCAAAAGAAGTTCAGGGACAGCACCCAGGCCCTGAGTTCAAGCCCCAGGACCATTGTGGGTACACACGCACTCGCACGCACGCGCTCACACACACAGATTAAGGTGGTTGCATGAAACTAGGAACAAATTGTCACAGAAGCTATCTGGAATCGTAAGTATGACTATAAACACGGCTTTGTCCAGTATCCTTCAATAATCCAAAAACCACTGAAGTACTCATGATGGTGATAGCTGTTGTTGTGAAGGAGATTTTTTTAGAAGAACACGTTACATTATTTTCTGTATATAAAAGTAAGTGGCCATCTTATTCTTATTTATAGTCAGGGGAAGCCACATATTCTATCAACACTTTTTTTCTAGTATCAGGGCTTGAAATCAGGCCCTTGTATTCTTTTTTTTAAATCTCTTTTTAATTGTGAAAATACTGTACAGAGGGGTTATATGAGCAAGGTAATGAGTACATTTCTTATCAACCATTGTTTCCTCCTCCTTTGTTTCCCCTTACTATCCCTTCCCATCTTCCCCCCTGCCACTCCCCCAGCGCCAAAGTTGTAATGTTCGTTTTTCAACATAATGTCTTGTACATCTCATTGTTGCAATGGGTCCACCTGTATCCCTACTTAAACAATTTGTTTTTTCCCTTCCCCTCCACAAATTATACCAACATCAAATACAGTGAAAACAGGGGTTATACTGTGGGGGAGGGACATACAAGCAACAAAGAAATATCTTATAAATATGTTAGAAACAATAGCAAGAAAGAAAAAAATATTAGAGTCTTTATCTTGGGTTCGTTTCGCCTAACATCAACTTATCTGACCTTTTCTGCTTGTCTCAGACCTCTACTAGATATTGCAAATAAGGGAAACCCTGGGACCTAAGTTTCTTTCAGGTCCTTGGATTCTTGCTTGGATTCTTGCTTGGTTTTCTTGTTCACAACTAGTGCTCTACCACTAGAGCCATGCCTCTAGACAAGCATTTGGAAACGGTCAATTGGAAAGAGTCTCATCAGTTTTCTGCCTGGGTTGGCAAGTCTCAGCCTCTGAGTAGCTAGGATTGAATGTGCAAACCATCAGTACTTGGCAATATTGTCTTATTCATGAGATAATACGTCAATTTTTCAAGAATTTGTGAACCATTTTTGTTTCTTGTGTAGGCAGACAGAGTAAAGGAGTTCATTGCCCATAAAGATAGATCCCACAGCTGTTATCTTTGATTGCACCCAGAGCCGAAATTTCACAAACTTTGGTCAGAGAAATCTACTCTAATAATCCTTAAGGATATATCTTAAATTAGTGATTGAAATGAGACTCCTCAATTCAGCTCCCACTCTATTCCACTTAGTTCCTGACTGCTCAGCAGATTAAAAGTTTGCTTCAGAAATACCTACAGAAAACAATGTAATAGCTTCATAAATTTCTTCCATGAGTAAAGCCCTACCTAGGCATCTCTTCTTTCTCAGTGACAATTTAACTACTGTGTAGCTGCTTTAATAAGCAGGACACTTAGCTGCATGTCAGCTGGAAAAACCTGATTGGACTATTAAGACATGATGTTAAACATTGAAAGATCTCTAGTATTGTTTTCCTTCATTTTCATTTTATTGCACTATGCAGTGGAATTTATATTCCACCCATAATGATACTACAATTTCTTGTCATTCTATAACTGCATAATTTTAAATACATGGAATAGAAAGCAGTACATAAGTTCCTATCTCAGTAATTAGACATAGATTATAAATTCATAACAAATATACTGGAGGTTAGTAATCAATATGTCATTGTCAAACCTGTGGGCATCTTGTGCAACTCACCAACACAACCACACAAAGAAAATTCAACCAATATACAAATATCAACCTAAGAAGAGATAAGAACTTAATGACTGAAGGTCAGTAAATATACAGCAAATAGTCTGACACAGACAGGTGACTAGGACTCAGCCCAATGGAAGTGTCTAAATGTACTCTTGTGTCTTTTCTCTTGCTTTCTATGACAGGTGCTGGATGGTTCCCCCATTGAAGTGACCCTAGCCAAACCAGTAGACAAGGACAGTTATGTTAGATATACCAGAGGCACTGGTGGAAGGGGCACCATGCTGCAAGGAGAATACACGTACTCTTTGGGTCATGTTTATGATCCTACCACAACCTACCTTGGAGCACCTGTCTTCTATGCCCCGCAGGCCTATGCAGCAATTCCCAGTCTTCATTTTCCAGCCAACAAAGGCCATCTCAACAATAGGACCATAATCCGAGCCCCTTCTGTCAGAGGTAACACTAGTCAGCTCTTCCCTAAGAATGATGCCAAGATCCCAAATGATTTATAGTGTGGTAGTTTTAGACACATTACATGGGTGTGTTGGGAGAAAAAGACTAGAAAATTATATACTGAAAATCAAATATATCGATAGCTCTCACTCCACAGGAAGCTCCTTTTCTCACTTTACAACTGGTTGTTGAAAAAAGTTGGTTAGAACATAAGCAAATGAGCCTATAATTTGATTTTTGCATAGACCCATAAGATTTGTACAAGCTAACACTGAGTTCTATGATCATTAGCTTCTTCCTAATTATTAGATGACTATCTTGCAGTAATACATTATTCTTGACACAACTTGAAAGGGAGAGTAATATGGGCTAATGGAAACCAACTATTTCAAATTGTAACAATATTTTAATGCACATAAACATTCAATAATGTCTCTGTAACAGCTGTATATAAAAATCACAAATGACCATCAACATAATCTAACATGAAACATTCTTATCTGACTTTCCCCAAAAATGTGTTCACTTTTTCTGCTCCTTCCCCTTCCTACAAAAATTTTCAGTATCCATGCAGTTTTCCAAGCCCAGTTACTTTAAGCAGTATAAAGATAAGGATCATATTTTTATTTCTAAAAACATAGTTTGTCTCTGCCTAATAGTGTCCTTCAGTGTGGTTGTTCTAGAATGTCCCTGATGTTATCAGGATCCTAATCCTATTTTCCAAATATAACAACAATCTGGACAATATCAACAAACAATGTATTTAAATCTACTGTTGAGTTTCACTTTGAAGCAGAAAGAGAGTCACATTCAGATGACTGTGGAAAGAATGATCTCACTGTGCTTTTTATTTTTCAGGAGAACTGAATTTACCCTCATAGAATTTCTATTCTTCAATAGCCTTGAAAATCCTATACTCAGAATACAATCATTCTTGCCAAATGTGCAAGAAATCATCACGATTTCCCTCACAACCACTTACATATATGATCATTTCTATTATTGAACCATTATTAACATATCTCTAAAATATGCCATTAACCAATCTATTTATTTAATATAAATTGTCAACCAGTTGTGATGTAGAAAAAGGAAAAAAAACTCTAAAAGAAATGATAATAATAATATGCATATAACAAGAAAAAATCAATTAAAATATTCATGGATAAAGGGTAATTGATTTAATTTTTATCTCTTTTTGCTACAAATAGGAAATCAAAATAGTTATATGGCAAAACACAAATCAAAAGGAATCTATGTATGAAACACAATGGAAATGTAAGCCTCACATTGACAATATAAAAGAGGGCGGTGAACCTTAAAACATGCTTTCTAAATGTTGGTAAGTCATGAGTGGTAGAATAATTGGAGAAGTTAAGACTTCATTTTTGATTTTCTGGTCAGTGGCAGTCTCTATGCAAGACTGATTCACACAAGTATTCCTATTATGCTGGGGTTTGTCAATAAGTGTATTCCCAACCTTTATTCATTTAAAGTAAAATATGAACCGAAGTTTAACTGGAGAGATATGTTGTCAAATTTCTCTCTCTGTCCTTATAAATAGGTTTGATGGTGTTGCTCTCTTCCCCAGATTGTTTCCTTAAAAGAAAGATGCACCTATGGTGAGCCTTACTTTCTGCTGAGTTTCATTACATTAGAATCCTAGACTTTTCTACTCAGGACAGTAATCAATGTGACATGGGCTAACTTTTCCATTACAGTAAGATTCAGGGTGATTTCCTGGTGGTTTGATTCAGTTTAATGCCTTCTTACATTCCTAGAAATTTACATGAATGTACCTGTAGGGGCTGCGGGAGTGAGAGGACTGGGCGGCCGTGGCTATTTGGCATACACAGGCCTGGGGCGTGGATACCAGGTCAAAGGAGACAAGAGAGAAGACAAACTCTATGACCTCTTACCTGGAATGGAGCTCACTCCAATGAATCCTGTCACTTTAAAACCCCCAGGAATTAAACTTGCTCCCCAAGTAAGTAATAGCTTTCCAAAGATAGGTGCTGTAAGTTGAGCCAATGACTATCCTTCATCTCTCAACCATTGACTTGATATTTACTTAGACTGCTGTTTGATCTTGTTTTGTTAATAGATAAAGTGGCTAATTAGCTCTGTGGGAATACTGATGGGGGGAGGGTGCCATTATGCCATTATAGGTCCTTTCCTTTTTTTTTAACCATTAAGTTTAAAACATTACTCTTTCACTGAAGTGCAAAGAACTATTAAGGACTGTCAGTATCTTAAGTGAAAATAAAATGAGGCATAGTCTAGCTCAGAATAAATGCCTATTGATCTAGGTTGGTTGGTAAATAGAGTACTAATGGCAGGAAACCCTACAGAGACCATTGAGGACATTTTCTCTTGGAAACACTGTACTTAGAGAAAGTTTCTCCATGCTATTGAGGTGATCTTTAACTGTGTGAGCCAGAAATCACATCAAATTAAATCTCCTACAATGCTCATAATTGGGCACTATAGTGTTTTTTAGATAGCTTTTATTTAATAGTCCTAATTTTCCACATTTCTGCACAAGGCTGTGAGTCATATTAGTGGAAAATTAAAAAGTTATAAAGGTTGTTCCAGTATGGAAACTGGGTATCAGGTTTGAAAATAAAACAAGATGGAATCCATGTTAACCCTTAGGATAGTCCCTGTTGGGGTGATGTCTCTGAGAAATCCACTTTGGCTGGATGGACAGAGTTGTTTGTGTGCTGTGCTAAAAGCTTCTTCCAAAGGTCCAAAGGCCTGAATTTTAAGGAAGTAACCATTATGCTTGCATAGACATAGTTGCCTAAAAATCGAGTTGAGTATGTATAAAATATGTATTATTCTTTTCTTTTACACATAAATTGATTTGTTTAAGGTTTCTGCTAATCTTATTCAAACAAACAGAAAAATAAAAAGACTGCCTATCATAGCAATATACAGAAATTGTTTGTCTTAAAGATATTTATTGGATTTCTGTTTATGTATCAAGTATTGTACTAGGTACTAGAGATGGAAAAGAGAATATGACAAAATTTTGTCACCAAAACTAAGATGACAGCATTTGCCTACCAAGTATGAGACCATATCAAACATGTACCACATACACACACATAGAATAATAATAACAATAACAACAACAATAATAAGGTGCCAATCCAGTAGCATAATCCAGTAGCATGTCAATTATAATGATATCAGGTCATAATTGTGATGGTGCTTGCTCAGAAAATATACAAGTAGTGTAAGGTCAAAACCCAAAATAAAGAGCTAATTAATTTATTTAATTAAAAGTACTAAGGCAAGCTGAGCTCCGGTGGTTCATATCTGTAATACTAGTTACTCAGGACACTGAGATCTTTAGAACTTTGGTTCAAAAATAAGTCCTAGCAGAAAATTCCATGAGACTCCAGAATAACCAGCTGAAAGACAGACTAGAAGCATGGCTCAAGTGGTAGAATACCAGCTGAGCAAATGTAAAGCCCTAAATTCAAACCCCACTAGCACCAAAAAGAAGAAGTAAACAGAAAAGAGCTGAGACTGCTAGAAATCTTTTAAGCAAAATTTAACTAATAATAATCATAAACTCCGTATATAATCCCGAGGGCTTCTAGCTTCTATAACATGAACAAAGTCTTCTGATTTGTACATTGAACTCAGAAATTGATCATTCTTGCTATTGATCCATAAGGAATCATCTCTTTTGCCTAATGAAATCTTAATTGGCTTTGAATTTTTATAAATATAGTTGAGCAATGAAGTACCAGGCCACTCTAACCAACCCAGATGGAGCCCTACAAGCTGTGTTGCGGAATTATGAATGTCCAACCAGAAAAGAGAGCAGTTGCTGTAACCATTGGCCTTCCTTTGGCCTTGGCTCACCTGAGCTAAACAGGACAGCAGCCTATCTCCCAGTAAAAGCTATTCTATAATTGCTTTGTAATTAAACACATACATCATGGGATTAAATCCTTGGTTAAAAAATTACAGATAATGGACTAAACTAAAACAGTATTAGATTAAATGGTATGAAAATAATGTTACGAACTAACAGCTATCACACTTTTGATGCAGTTCAAATTGAGTTTAACTTGAATTTTTATGAGTCATTAAACCATGTGGCATTTTATATCTTCTCATATTAGTTTCAAACCCTGAGATCTGAGCTTAGAAAGTGAAAACTAGAGAAATCATGCAAATGTGACATTTGAGGTTGAGATCATCTTTTTTTTATTCTTGTAGATATTAGAAGAAATTTGTCAGAAGAATAACTGGGGACAGCCAGTGTACCAGCTGCATTCTGCCCTTGGACAAGACCAGAGACAACTGTTCTTATACAAAGTCACCATTCCTGCCCTCGCAAGCCAGAATCCTGCAATGTGAGTAATCTCTCCAATTTCCTAGTCTAACAGTTTAGGACAAGATTTGCTTATTTTGCTTATAAATTTGCTTATAAATTTGATCATCATCTAGATAGTAATGCTCAAGTCATTAAATTCATTGCCATGTATAGTTGGGCGCTAGCTATGAGATTACCAACTAAAGTCCCCAAAGTTTATGAAGATGAGGAGGACTACATCGTATAATCAGCCAATGGTGAACAGCTAGTAATGTTAAAGGTAATAGGAACAAAAAAACATATAACCAGTTCTTTTATCTTTGTAGTATTTAGGTTGAAGCACATGAAGCTGCCATTTTTATACATGATACTGTGCTCCCATCATTAAGTTTTGGACCAAAGAATAAGGCCACTCTTCTGATAATAGACAACTGGAAGTGGCGCTGTGGCTCAAGTAGGAGAGCACTAGCCTTGAGCTAAAGAGCTCAGGGACAGCATCCAAGCCCAGAGTTCAAGCCCCACGACGAACCAGAAGAAAGAAAGAAAGAAAGAAAGAAAGAAAGAAAGAAAGAAAGAAAGAAAGAAAGAAAGAAAGAAAGAAAGAAAGAAAGAAAGAAAGA